TTTTTTTGTTAAAATTTAACATTTAAAATAAAAAAGAGCACTTTACAGAAAGCAGTATTGATAGTTCACAGCAGTGGTTACAGATCTATGGTGTTAACGTCTTTCATTAGGCCATTTGTGGTTGCTAAGACACGAAAATAGTGTCATGTGAGCTGTAGAACAGAAAATGCACCACCCCTGCAATTCCATTTCTCATGGTCGAGGGATATCTCTGTTTATTCCCATTGGAATTCCCCTGATGTGGCTATGTGCGGATCAGCTCATCTTCATGCCCCTTCTGAGTTTGTCCAACTTGTTCTATTAAAATTTATGCTGCATTGTTTTTCTTTTCATTTTATTTTATATATATATATTCTTTTTTATATTATTTCCTTACTTCTTCTGTCACTCAAGGGAGTGTGCCTACCCCCCCAGTGGAGGATTTCATTAATATGATTGTAATGTAGTATTTTGAAGCCCTCTTTTGGATTTTTGGGGTATACTGTATCTTTAATCAATCGAGGCAAATTACCATGCCTTCCAATTTATGCCAGTACAGGATTTGTGTACAGCCAGCTCTTTAACTGTTTCATCCATCCATTTTCTAACCACTTTATATCCAATACAGGGTCACAGGTGTGCTGGAACCTACCCAGGCAAGAAATGGTTGCAAGGTGAGATACACCCCGAGTGAGATGCCAGTCCATCGCAGGCTAGCCACACAGATGCACACTCACACCAGGGAAAATGTTCTCAGAAGCCAATTATGCCTTTGAAGTGTGGGAGGAATCCCACTCAACCACTTGGAGAACACACAAACGCCATGCAGATAGCCCTCCAAATTTGGAAATGACCCCAGGGCCCCAGAGATGTGAGGCAGGAATGATACCCACTGCTCCAATGTGCCACCCCTTCAACTGTTTCATAAACATACTGTAACGCATACGGCCTCCATTGCTTGCGACAGCTGGCTTACCAGAGCGGTGACGTCACCGCCCTCCCCTGTGAATAGCAGGGTAGCAGGGACCGCAGCCGCTGGGCTGATGGGAGATTTCCCTTTGGCTCAAGAGGCTGGGTCCCTGTTGAGTGGCGCCAGAGGCCCGGGTTCGAGTCCCTGACGGTGGGGGGTCGACCTGATGCGCCAGCGGCAAGGGCGCCCACATGAACCCCGAAGCGTTACAGTATAGTACTTATTCATCCAATTGCATTAGTATAGAGGAGGTTAGCGGAATGGTGAAGATCTGAAATTTCCTGACCACTACTTTAAAATATTATACAGTATGTACAGTGTAAGCACTACTGAAGGCAAACACAATGTATTACCTTAAAGGATATAACCACAACAATGAATATCCAAATGTACTGCATAGTGCCCTTTGTTTTTATGCCTTTTCTGAAAGATACCCTAGTTTAGCACATGAAAATCAAAATCCTTCAGTGGTGCATATTTTATTCAACAAGTATTTATTTTGGTGGTGTTAGGAAGTCTGCAAAACACGCAGAGCATATCTTCACCTAACAATTGTATTGTAAGTTTGTACAGAGTCATGCCAACATTTTAATTCAAAAAGTTTTTACAGGAATGTTAGTCATTCAACTTTTAAGATTCTCAAGAATTATCAGGACATACAGTATATACAGTATGTGATGCTAGAAAGGACAGATGGTTTGCCACTAACCCTTCACTAATGCCAAACCATATTTCTCCAATATTTGATAGCTCTGTTATTTATTCTGGATTTCTTTTTCTCGCTTTGACTTTTTAACTTTCAGCATTTTCCAGCTTAATTTCTATTAAGCTTATATAGGGATTCAAGTTGAAGGAAAGATCAATCTAAAATGATTTACTGTATATTCCCAGTTTCTGTAATAATCCTTATTGCAATGATTAATGAACTCAGGAAGGGAAGTCATGCTCCTTTTTTTCAATTAGTTATTTTTGTTTTAATAAAGATATTATACAATTACTCCGGAATGTGGCACATACTCTCAGTGTAACATGCCACTGTTTCCACTGTTTTCCAAAGCATTATTATAATATATAATCACCTTAAGAAACACACAAAAATATTTGTAGACTTGTTGTAATAAAATTATAAATATATTACTGATGTAATAAAATGATTAATAAAAATCATAGCAGTTTCAATTTGCAAATGTACAGTATGTTATTTCGACTTTGCACAGGGTCTTAGTGATGTGTACATTTGAGGAGTTACAGTATTAAAACTGTAATAATCTCTGTAATTACCATTGTTTAAGAGACATTTTGGATATTATATTAAACCCCAGCTTACATGATCACAACTCTTGTTTCTGTCCTTATCGTAAATATTTTTTTAAAAACTTTCACAGAAGGCAAGTTTGAAATCTGTACCCAACTAAAAGGCCAAATGGTGAAATTCATTAAAGTAGTCAAAAGGGTGAGCAACATCTGGATTGTGCTATAGGTAAAGTATTACCCTGAAGAAATCAGAGGATTGTTGACTCAGTGAAACACTTGGGATGCTGCCAAAGTCCTTTGGTGCTCCACTACAACTGATAAGCCCTCCGATTAGTGCTCACAGCTGAGCTGGAAAAAAAAAACTTTCTTATCAGAAATATATTTGAAATGACTTTAAAATGTGTGAAAATAAAAGACACCAAGAATAAAATAGCAGGAATGCAGGGCAGCATGGAGGAGTGCTTGTTGCTTCAGCTTCACAAATTATGGTTCCAGGGTTCAATTTCAGGGTAGGGTGAGCTCTGTGTGGAGTTTGCATGTTCTCTCCAAGTTTATATGGCTTTTCTATTGGACCTTCCAAAGACATACTGGCTAAGCTAAGTGGTGTCTCTAAATTGTTCCTGTTATTCGGTGTGTGCCCTCTAATGGACTGAAGTCCTGTCCAGGAAGTAGTCCTGCCTTGTTTCCTGTGTTTCTGGGATAGGGTTTCTCCTGTAAACCTCACCAGGTTACTGTCTGAAAAAGAGTCAATGTTCTCGGGGGTTTTTTTATGTGAACATTTGTTTTTCTAATGGCAGATGGTTTATTTTCAAATGAAGATTCTCTGTTCTTTTTGGGGTGAAAAATAAATAAAAGCCTGTTAAGCAGGAACAATCTGTTGACAAAGTTCAATGTGCTTTGTTATTTTTGCCCTTAAAAGCTTTCCTTTGATGTCTAGTCTTACAGAGCCTTGCCTCTCTGACACAGTAGGGCTGTTGGTTCTCTGTCGGTTTTGAATGTACTGTATATTCAACAGTAGCCCCTTCTACACTGAAGTGTTTACACTTGGAAACATTAAGCTAATAGTGAAGTGCTGATGTAAACCATCTAACAAACCCTTGAGGCATAACTAAGCACATTGAAATGTTTACTTAAATTCTCTGCGAGATGTTCATAAAGGCAAATGAGGTATGCTCAAACATTTTAAGAATTTTTTTGTCTTTGACTTTGTGTTTCAGTTACGTTAAAGTCTGTTGAACGCAACATTGATTTACTGTACAATATAACATAAATTCAGAGATTGAGTGGTAGGAAGCAAACCATTAAAATCCAAGTGTCTTGTACTGTACTTTAAAGCATTTCAAAATGAAAAGTCTTGTCTTTAGAGCAACCCTCTGGTTTTAAAATGAATTATAAATTTATAAAAGAGAAGATTTTAAAAGAAGACAAGAGCATTCAGATGGAAAGAAACATCTGGGCCTTTTTCCTCTTACAAAAGCTGAATCATTTTTTCCAGATATCCCTGAGGATCAATCAGACCCATTAAATTACATCAAATAGTAAAATTATTAAAAGATATACATATTTTATAAATCAAAAAAATATTGTACAGCCTAATATAATGACATGAAAAACAGTATAATGCTAATTTCATTTATAGGGGAGAACACTGATCGTTATCTTGTTCCAGCGCTCAAGGAAGAAAAACATTTTCAATTATTTTCCAGGATTAGAACTGCCACACTATTGTGCTTTGTTTGTACTGCAAAAAGATGTATTACTCAAAGCAAAATGGAGTAGGTCCAGGGAAATTCAGCACAGGATATTGTGTGGCTCAAAATCCCTGCTTAGCTTGCTCTAGAGACAGCTGGTTCATGACATCTTAAAAGTATGCATGTCAAAATGTGGAAAACTTTACACAAGAGCTATCAAGAGAAAGATCTCATCTCTGTTTATGCTTGGTAAAAAAACAAAGTTACCTACAGTTTGGTAATGTGGAACACTACTACAGCACATTAGACTTTTAACATACAATTGGTGCGTGCGAGTTCAAGCCGATTTATTTATGCAGCATCATCAAGACAAATAGAGAAACAGCCTGTAAAATATGCGAAAGGATGCCTTCGCATCTGTATCTGATTGAACATTTTTAAAAAATCAACTTAGCTGAAGGTCAGCTGCATTTCTCAAGAGTGTCTTGTGCTTGACGTTCATTCTTAAACACTCAGTAGCTCAGGTTACAATAAAGTGGTCCTTTAGTTTACTTAAAATGTACCAAGCGAGTTGGAGAATGAGTCTGAAGTTATCGTTTTGAACAAGACTAAACCACTCTATGAGAAAAATGCAAAAGTGTAGAAATGGAATTTAATCTTGGCACTAATGGTCAGGCACTTATGTGAGACTCATGTAAGTGTGGCCACGTTAGAGTTTGCATTGTAGAAAGGGAAAACGTAAACATCTCAAGCCTTCTATGAGAATATAATGCACTCTGAATGAGCAGACCAGCTGCATATCAAAAGAAATAAACCTTTTCTTAATTTAATTCTCAATGCCAGAGCAAAGTTAACACTGTTTTATACTTTTTGAGGGTCTAAGGTCTGCCAATACAGATCTGAAAACCAATTCCCTGGCTACAATGATCATGTGATAGTTTAGTAGAGTTTATGTAAGTACAAACAGATTTGCAATAATAAGCTGAATCGTGTTCCTATAAACAAGGAATCTTTCAGCTATTGTGTCAGGTAAATATTCTGAGAACATATTGTTACGTTCACATGTTGCTCAAGAATCTTGGCAAAACACAGTGCAAACAAAGAAGAAGGTTTTCATTCTTTTTTTCCCCATTTTATTTTTTTTCATTATCAGCTGAACTGAAAGGACAAAACTGACACAGAGAAATAAGTTAAAAAAATCAACTCAGAAATATTTAACGATTTGTTGCAGGTCACCTAATAAAGATTAGCAGGTTTAAAAGAGACAGGTGTGTACAGGCAAAATGTAATAATGACAAGTCAAAAACAGTTTGTTAAAACATAATAAAAGTTAACTTAGTAAAAAAAACAAAGAACCACAAACAAACAAATATATACACGACTCATAAGAAAACACAGAAATGTAACATTGTTCTGCATCATTTCCTATTGTAACATACTGTACTACATTTTTAAATTAGTATAGTAACAGTGTGAATTATTCTTATAAAGTTGTCCTTTAGCATTTAAATGTATGCAAGAATTTAGTATTCTGGAATGGACCTACTGGAGTTATTGTGTTATTATTCTTCCTGGCATTATCTTTAAATAAACACCTTTCAAATATTTTACAAACTTCACCTTTATATTTAATTGGAAATTCACTTTTAAGAATTGTAAACACGTAATACAATCATTATTAGTATTTTAAACAAGATAAAAAATATACACATGAACATTTCACACCAAACTGACATTTTAGTCACCTCCAGCTTATAACAAATGGATTTCCACCCATCTAAAAGTACTTATTTTCATACAAATCTAAGAAATGAATCCAACATAATGTACCTACAGTATATACCAGGGGTAGCCAACAAATACAATTAAATAATGTGCATGAAGATACACAGTTAAAAAAAATCTTATATACAGTATCACCCTCACATCATCAATACGTAGAAACTTGGAATAAATGTGTTTTTATACATTTAACAATATTAACTGGTTCATTAAGGCTAGGATTGGCCAATTGTGGTCCTTTGTAACTATAGGGTGTTGTGATCTTAATTTTAAATGATCTATAAATTACTTAACTGAACAAGTCTCCTGCTTCGGTGGTCAAAAGAAAATTGTTTCTTGAATTTAGAAATTGATTATTTAAGGACATTAATAAATGTCTAGGATTTAATAAGGATTAATAAAATCTGCTGGTTGTGGGTCTCCATGATTACTGTAAATGCCAGGAATTAAACAAATGAAAGACATCACACATACTCATATTACAGCCATGTTTCATTGTTTTCTGCTTTTCTCATTTTGTCTCCCAAATCCCTTTCAAAGATTAACAGAAGCATAAAGAAAGACTTTCTTGCTGCAGCACTGGAATGTGTTTAAACAGATACTTTAAAAAAGGGTATCCTGGGAATGTGACCAATTTTGTCGGCAGCTTTATTTTGAAATGCCATGGTATATCCTTATTTCTTTTAAAACGATACTTAGTTTCTATGATTTGAAGAGATAACCACTAAGAATAAAGACTGAATGTTTCAGATATTCAGAAAGCATATTTCAAACCGTGGTTAACAGAGATAGAGATAAAGTGCTATTGATACAAAAAAAGGTTTGCCGTCTTAAAACCTCAGAGTTAAATGACTTTATAATTTCAGCAGGTATAAAACACAATTTAAAAAAAACACTAAATGGTGACTTCTACAATAAGCTTTTAAAAACAAAAGAAAACTTCTTGAAGACAATGACTGTTTAACATTTATGGACAATTGTAACATGCAGTGCATGGAAACTTATCACCCCAAATAAGAACAGGACAACAGCATTATCGAACTGGAAAAAAGGCACATGCTTTGCACACTGTGCAGACTTAGACCAGTTCAACTTTAGAGTTGGGATAAACGGCTACAACATCATATCCCTCTGGAGGCTGTACTCTGGCCTTGGCGTGGGTCTCACAGTAAAGATGGTCCTCGATGAAAAAATACCCCCGCTGCTTCAGATTTAATCCACAGTCGTCACACATGAAGCACTCTGGGTGGTATAACTTGTCCCTTGCTTTCACTATTGTCCCCCTGCACATTGAAAAAGATAATTTAGTCTACATCAGTGACTATTCTGATACCGTGTACACTGCATTACAGTCTTCCTACTTGGGAACTAGTGATGACAGAAACAGTACATAGTATAGACTTGTATACTCTCTTTACTAACAAATAGGTAATGGTTACTTTCTGAACATATTTCAGAACATGGGAAAATTGTACGTAAAAGTGCGATAAACATAGAGGACGTATTAAATAACTGATCCATACATTTTCGAACAACTTTATCCAATCCAGCCAGTGCCTATCCTGACAAGCAATGGAGACAAGGCAGGGTAAATCCTGGAAGGGACGCCACCTGGGCCAATTTTCCCAGTTAACCTACCAGTATGTCTTTGGACTGTGGGAGGGAACCCATGTGAACACAGGGAGAACATACAAACTCCATGTAGATACACCCCAGGTCTGGAAGTGAACCCAGGGCCCCAGAGCTGCAAGACAGCAATGGTGGCCACTGTGCTACCGTGCCACCCATATTAAATCAGAGCTTGCAGAAGTAGGTTAAACAGAATCAGAGGACTAAGTTAAAACATTCATCCGTGTTAAGACCCTCAGTGCATGCAGATTAAGCATAGGAAAGCTTGCACTCTGTGATGTGCCTTGGACTTACACTATGCCATTCCCGCAACGGGTGCACTCGGGAAGCTGAAAGCCAGGTAAGGGCGACCCCAGTTTTGGAACGGGAGATCTTACAGGAGATTTCACACTTTTGACTGCAGGTCTTTCAGCTGGAAAAAGATTTTGCAGAATGCATATACAGTAGGGTGAAGGTTTTTAAATTGAAACAAAAGCAGAAGAATTAAAAATACTGTAGGTATAGTGTACTGTACACTGCACATTCATATAAACCTGGAAGGGACACCAGTCCATTGTAAGGCAGACACACAGACACAAATCCACTCACATTGTTACACCCGGCCAACTGCATATAACCAATTACTTAATTAGCCCCCGTCTGTTTGATCTGCCAACCTCCTGTGATCACTAGCACATTCCCACCCCTCACTGCAGTCCTAAGCTCTGTTCAGGAAGGAAATAAACATGCCTTGAAAAGTTGAAAACCTTTTTCAACTTTACAAAATCTGTGGGTATTCTTCCAACAGCGAGAAATTGTGAGAGCTAAACCTATTTAAGCTTTTTGGCCTTATATTCTGTAGAATGTTAATATATAAAGTTGGAACTTAAATGGTCACCTGCGAAACTAGGCCACACTCATGAAAAGGTTTAGACCGGTCTTCACGCACCACAGTGAGATTTTTCAATGTCACATGTTTCAGCTGCATCTTGTGCCCTGCTGGCCATTTAAGCCAAGTTGCTTTGCCCATGCCAAAATATATATATATATTAATTCACATGTTAAATTTGGCATCTGTGCCAAGACTGGCACAGCATGAACACATTCATTAGGAAAAAAATGTAGCTGTTGGCAGTCAAAACATTCCACATTACCGAAAAAAATATCACCACAGAAGTGTTAAAATCCCACTTTCCCAGAATAAGGGTCTGTCAGGGAGCCAGACCAAAGCTATAAACCCCGTACCTCCACAAGTCATATAAAACTTTAGAAAATATGAGCAGTACTGCTTTCCACCTGCTTTCAGGTGGTATTTTTTATCCTAACATTTTAAGTAAACAGAAACTGTATGCAAAGGAATTTTTTTTTATTTTTTTCAATCACTATTGGCTCAAAAATCTGAACAAAACTGAAATAACTCAGAACCAGAAGGGTGATTTACTTTTATTTGCAATAAAACACTGCTTTGATTTCAGGTCCCTGGATTATAGGGTATAATTAGCATAGATGCTGTAAGTCAACTATCACATTTTACAATAAACTCAACTTAACCTGAATAGTTCTCCAAATGTTGGAATTCTTGGAGAGGTATGCTTTAACACCCAAATGCGCAAGACAGGGCAAATGGTCTTTATAATCTCTTATAACACACACAAGGTTTTCCCCCACTCTTTAACTTGAAATGCCTCTGACCTAGGGCTTCATGACATGTGCCTCCTCTGTCCCACACATTTGGGTTTGTCAAATGTTATTTGGATGTTATTTTGTGGGAAAATAAGTTTCGGTTTGACAATGGAAACACTGCCAATGTTTAAGGGAGTTTTAGACTTTCATTAAGGGATTTATATTAGAAATCTGAGATTGTCTTTTCAAACATTGTTTTTTTTTTCCGAAATACAAAGGAGTATTTACAATAAGGTTTTAAACGTTTGTTTTTTGTTCTCTTATTTACTATTGTTTTGCCATAGGCAACAGTTTGCTTTTTAGAGCAATGTTATTTGTGTCACACTTTGCTTTTGATTACAGAAGGAAAAACTTGTTGCTACTGTCTCTTGCTGTTGCATTTTACTGTAATTTCTTCATGTAAATAAATTGCAAACATATGAACAGAGGATATATTCATTTGAAAGAAGAAAAATGGGCTTCAAGAATTTCTTATTTTACCTAAAGTTGGATTTTAAACAGAAACGATAACAAAATGTGGGAATAAAATTGAATTTCCTTACCACTATCCTCGGCTTGCAGAATCCCTTGCAGGTATCGGAAAGAGCCAGATTGCTTGGGTTCTGCAGAAGGCTCTTCATAATCTTGAAGCATCTTATAGACTTCAGACTGAGTATCAAACCCATTTTTGCTACTTGGTGAATGGATTTGTGGTTCAGGGCTAAAATGTGAGAGATAATATTTCAATACAAAAAAGTAATAATACTGTAAGTATACAATTAATTGCCACATTTGTTTTTTTTAATTTGATTTCTTCCCTTTGCATTATAAAACATATAATTGTCCATAAATATAATTTCTATTTGCTGTTGAGTAGAATTAATTTTGGTAATGGTACTGGTAATACTGTATTGGTAATAAAAAGTTGCCCAGAGTTTAAAAGGGAAGTCAACCATGACCAAAAGTACAGTTTTTAATCTTGCACAGGAACATCCATGGATTAGATATTTCCCAATTAACCCAAAAGTTAAAAAGCGTGCAAGCTCTGAACACGTTTAGTCTGAGTGTGTGGCCGAGTTCATACAAGGTCTTAAATCTGAAAAAAAAAAACAGTTACTATACATGACAAGTTGCAACAAATTATATGACATGGTATCTTCAAGACATGACATACCTGTTAGAGGAACCTAGACGGAGATTAGTCATTTGCTTGGGTAAAGTGGCTTCTGTGTTGTTGTTATTGTACAGTCCAACTGGATTATTATACTGCAAGGCTGACTTTGAATTGCCATTATTCAATGGAACATCAGTAACATACTGGGCGGCTCTTCTGTTATATCCACTTCCAATGGGTCGGAAACCCTAAAAAAGAAAACCAATCACCAAAAATTTAATACGCTTTTTAGTAATCGTTTTTTCTAAAAAAGACGCTCACTTTTCACAGGTACTGAAAATCCCTGAATGAGATTAGAAACCATATCAGTTACAAACAACGTTAATTCATATTCAATGATAAATCCTTTGTATTCACATTCTTTCCAAATTCTACTTCATAAACCACAGACCACATTGCACTTCTTACTTTTCAGACACTTCTAAAACTACAAATGTCACTCTGAGAACTCCTATGACAAGATATAGTATTTTGAGCACATAGGAATGAATAAAACTTTCAGATGGGAATTTACAGTTGTAACGTCATTTTTTAAATGCACTTTATCTTAAAGCTTATGTCTGAAGGGAGTCTGGATATTGCTCATAAATGATGTTTGCTGGACTGCTCAGGAAACAGCTCTTCACAGGACAGAGCTGTTCCCCACACCAGTCAGCAGATGTGACCCTGCTCTGCCCTCTACAGACCACCAACAGAGAGTGAGAGAGTAAATCACAGCTTGGAGGGACCCAATGACTCCTACAATTACCTGAGGTAATCTTTGAAAATAAGTTCCTTTCAAAATTGCAGGCCACAGCACAAAGTATTTTTCTGGTAGTATGGAGACTTCATAATGTGAGAGAGTTAATCTATATTAAAAGTTCTTCCATTTCTAGTTTTGTGGTATTTGTTACAACAAAAAAAACAGCCTAAAATATAGCACCACATTACAGTTTCTTCTCATATAAATGTTCATGTTGTGACAAGTTATCATTTTCTTTACCTGTTTTATTTCTCTAGAAGAAAGATGTGTGGATATGTGCCAATTAGAGACAAAAGTGCCAAAGTACGAGAGCACAGCACTCCATATTTTTATTTAAGGGATATCTGCTATTAGGACACTGGACAACATTGTTTTAAAAAGCTTTCAGAAATACAATTAAACATACAAAGTCAATTTACACTTTGAATTTTTAAAGCACTCAAGTTCAGTTTGTTTTGGTTGCCAGTCAACCCATAATGTGTGGAATTCTGGGATTTGCTTCCATGCTGGCATTGAATTGTATACTTTTTATTTATGTTCCTGTGCATTTAAACAGTTCCTTCTACATTAATTAAACATAGCAAATGGACAGACATCATTTTAATCTAATTTATGCTGCTAAGGCCTTTAAAAAAATATTTTTCTGCATATAGATATTTGTCTGAGGTAGATGGCAGATTTATTAGTCGCACATCTGGTACACAGTTTAGAGAAAGGCCTGTGTGTTGACAATCTGTGACTTTTTTTTGTTCATGATATATATAGGCCAAGATCATTTTCATTATACGTCTGTAAAGTCAGGGTATTTACTTAAATTGATTTATTTCCTACACGTGAGGTTTTGACAGTGCATTAAAACACCAGATGCACTGCAGACTCAGACCAACTCTTGGTATCACTACTTAATATTGATAAAATCCCTGCATGCATTTTCTTCCACAAGACAGTGTAAATCATATGACATTCACAGAAAGACTGAACCCTTGAATCACTTGGCAACCTTATCTTATTTAGTAGGCAGGTTAAAGCTATGTTACTAGGATTTTGCTGTTGGCTTACAGATACTACACCTGCCTGACACTGTTTGCTTGGGACTAGAATTGCCATAGTAATAAATTATGACACAACACACTAAAATGGTTATACATTAATGATGTTTTTCACATATAACATTGAACATTAAAGGTAATAAACATGTATCATTGTTTTTGAAAAGTAAGAATCCAGTGACAGTATTACTAACCGCTTTTTAGAACTTAGCATTCTAAAACTATATTTCCATCAAAAACCACTGACAACAGAAAGGAAGAGAAAGGTTATTTTAAAGTCAGTGAACTTTAAAACAGTCCAAACATCTCACACCTTGATGTTCTCTTTTTTGTCTTATAATTTCCAGAAAAAAAGTTCTAGAAAGACGTGGTTTTCATTGAGAAGCGTATGTCAGTGGTGATGGTAATGTTTTTTTTCTTCTTCATATTTTGGTCAAACTCAAACCGTCTGTTTCTTTAAGTTGCCAGAATTCACTGACTTGTTTGACAACAGCAGCCAAGCATGACACCCACTTACGGATGACTGCTTACAGTGAATGCAAGTTCACTTTACGAACAACAGGATCACCCAACAGCCACTTAATACTACAGATACCCTTCTGAAGCCCCAGTGCTACTGAATAAATCAACTTTCAAAATTAGATTTTAATCGTATGTGCCTGAGAGGGATTTCACGTTTTGATACATTTCCTCTACAAATATTGAGCTAGCAGCCTTTTGCTTTATTTCCAGTGTTAATTGTATTCATATGCCTTCCCAGTTCTGCAGTCCCTTATCTGTCTATGGTGCTTAGTAATCCTTAAACTTTTGGAGAATAAAGTTTTTCACATGATGCTTTGCATTAGGAACCAAACACAAGAAGCCCTTTATTGTTGGATTTCAAATTGTGTGCTCAGCATGAGGTAGTTATCACTGGGGAGAGACCAGAATGGCATGCAATTGCTCCTTTTGCTCCATAATAAATAATATATATAGAATCTCGTTTACATGGAATTCACTCCATGGCTACCAACTACTTAATGAAAGAGTAATAAATAAATAAAAATTCAAAGTGGCATAACCATGCTACACTGAATTGGATATCCTCATAACATTGTGTGAATGAAGCATTCACAACATTCACAAATAATCAAATTGAAAAACAAACAGCGCACACAGTAGAACTGAGGTTTTATTACTTAGCCTACAAAATGTACCTGGTTTATGGCATACATATTTGTAGTAAAGTTGTACACACACACTATAAAACTTAGCATGGTAAAGAACAGAAACATTAAAATGTTTTGCGTTTACTTTTTCTTTCTACAATGTCTTATGACAATATCTTCATTGTTGTTTGTATGACAATCTGCAAATATTTTGCATCCAAATGAAATTTTAACCTGTGTAAAAGGACTTTAGTCTTAGGAATAATGGTCTTGACTTAAGGTTTTAAAAGTATTCCAAATTCTTAGAACTGAAGAATCCAAAATCAAAATAATGAAAAAGCTTACGACAGAGGAGCTTCATGATATTATATCTTTAGCATGCGTATAAAGGATAGAGTGCTGACTACTCCAATATTTGCTTATTTCGGCCTTTTTTGGCAAACTAGTGGGAAAGATTTTGGCATTTTGTGTACTGCAACAATGTGACAATAAAAAAAACATAGCATAATAATATACCAAAGTTTTATTGCAGTTGTAAAAAGCAAACAACTTCGGCAGAAAAGCCCCAAACAAATGTCAGGAAATACTGCTGGGCTAAAACAGAAACAAGTAAAGGTTAGTTTATAAGTCTTGTAAATAAATTTGAATGTTTATGTCGGCTTGTACAGGTGTCCAAATTCTGACACACTACTTAAAGTGAAAGACCATCATTACGAAACGAGAAAGGGAACACAATATGATAATTCTGGAAAAAAGTGCTTACAACACAAAACATGAGAAAAGCAAGCTTATGAATAGATAGCCTTAAATTAAAACACATAACATCAGAAATGAAAAAGGAGACAAATATAATAATCTAAAAATTAAGAAATCAAGCAGGATTTAATGAAAATACCTTCTACTCATGAAGCAAATGTTGTCTTGTGCTGGATGTTTGCAGTCTCAGGTATTTGAACTGCAATATTTTCATTAGTAAGTTATGTGTGAACTAACTGTCAAAGCTGACCAATGCCTTCTGGAAGAATTTTGTCTGTTTTAACAGCATGGTAGTGAATCTTTAGAATATGACTGTAATGATATGTGATGTCTGGACTGAACCAGGTAATGATATGTGATGTCTGGACTGAACCAATAACTGTACCTAGATTCAGGGGCAGACATTGTAGAATGCAGCTTTTGTATACAAAGCATCATACAGTACTGTATACAGTATATGATTGCAAAGCTATACAGTAGGTATAGGAACAAATTGCATGTGGTTGATATACGTTGTGGCTATCTGTGGTGAAAATTCCGATATTTATGATATCTCCTCTGACCTATGCAGTTAATGTCGCCAATAGATTTATAATGTCATCACCTTAAAAAAACAAACAGAGTAATAGTGACGATTAGCACAAACATTTATTAAAAGGCTATGAATAAATGCCTCATTCACTTTTTTGTACTTACTTTTTTTCCCCATATTGAAATATTTTAATTGCAGCGGTTGTGTAAAACAGAATGAAATTTACAAGTGGTTGTTGTCACATAAAACTGTGGCACAGGGATTGAAATGAATGGAAAGCCAACAATTGAAAAAAGCTTTATTTCAGTCTAGGTTTACCAAGCTTTGGCTGAGGTGTAACTTTAATTGAAAGAATTTGCAAAAGGAACAGTTAAGAATTGAAATCCAAAAACTTTATATTAAACTTTCTATCAGCTCTGAACAAAAATGCCCAAAAAGACAAGAGCCTATTTTAAGTGGAGCACGTTAAGGAAACACCTCATTGCTTCCATGTGTCAATTCCTGTTGTGTTGGTAGATCATATCCACCTACTTACTTAAAATTTCCAACAAAATGAGTGGTAGGGCGTTGTTTTTACATTGTGATTAATATGATGTGAAAATGATTAAAGCTAGAAAGCAGTGTTATATTCTTATCAACACTGCATCTTGTAACACACCAGTGTGGAAAATGCATTTCCTTGGATGGAAGTCAAATTCATTAATTTCATTTTGCCTTCTCACTGGATTGCAGTAATATTTCAATGTACCACTCTCCTTGGTTTTTTTTGAAAAGTCCCTGTTACAACTTTTCCCCTTTTAAAGTAGTCAACTCAACCTACTACTGATACATATGCAACTTGAATGCTAAACTTTCTTTTAGGGCTATATTTGTATCCATTATTCTAGTTTTTTCCAACAGCATTTTAATCAAAATATGATGTTTCTTACTGCCAAGGTCACTCTACTGCTGAGACAGTGAAACATAATGTTCCCCAAACCCAAATTTCTTGAAAACATATCTACTTATTTCCACAGTTTCAAGTTTTTCCCCATGTGTAGCAATTATCATACCAAACTCACAATGAGTTTCTTATCCCAGTGTGTAGTAGTTTAGCAATTTAATTTCTTTAACAATGGATCAGATTCTATTTTTTTTCCATTGTTCATTGCTGTCACATTCTGTCCACTGCAAGGAAAAAAGCTGTAATGAAGAAGATAGAGATTCTTGTCTAAAACATTTCACAAAAATACATTTAATTAGATGAACCTTTGTCATGCTTATTTTTCACTTACAGTGGCTATTGCAGAATTTTAATAGAATAGTGCATTGCTCAAATTCATCAGACTTTCATTATACAAAAGTCTGTGTCTCATTATAGATATTTGCTCTCCATCTAGCTGTTGATATAAACCACATGTCATGAAGAAACCATTTTCATCTCTTATTTTCATTTATAGAATACAAAGTATGAAAACGGCCTTCAGGCAGGTCTCTCCTCTCTTGTGTGGGTGGTAGCTGTTAGGCAAAACCAGGTTTTAGATTAAAAACACCTGCAAAAGTACAGAGGAATGGGAAATGAACGATCCTCTTTTTTGATTTACTAATTACCGTGTTTTTTTTTCTTTTTTAAAGGAAATTATCAAAATGTCAAAAGTATTTTCAGAAACAAAATACTGTCATAAGGACAAAAAAGTGTTTTAAACACCACACATTTTCATTCAAAGTCTATGAAGTTATACTCTCTCTCTCTCTTAGATGAAAAATAAACAAATTGTAGTGCAAATGCTCCACCACAAATAGTCATTGGAACTGTATTATCTTTATTCTGTTCTCAAAGCAATGAAATTTAAAGAAAGTCAGATAAATTAATAAAGTTTCTAGATTTAAGTTCTCAAAGATTTGTGTATGAATGTTTAAGAGGGTAATACTATTTAAGGCAATGTTATGTATATTTTACTATTTTGTGTATTTAACAGTGATTAATTTCCAGTTTTGATTTGTTTAAAGACACTTTAAACTTTAAATCCATTTTAGGAAAAATAATTCTCCACAGTTTTAAATACCTTTGCTAAAAGCCTGTGAAATCAGAGTCTCTGAAAAAATGTGAACATCTGTAAGAGTAGTATGCAGTAAAAGAAATGTGGTATTAACTTTTTTCCTTAAAAGGAATGATGGAAAGAGCCAAGATACATCACATAAATCTGAAGTACTTACACTTTTACAGCTTAACTGTGTCATAAGCATAATAGATATCGGTCTGAAAACAGGTAAAAGGAAGAGTGTACCTTTCATTTGAGTATTAAGATGATATATTACTGCATTTCCAAAGCAGGATAATGTAAACCATGCCTAATATGTCTTATCAGAATTGAAAGGACGATTTTGTGCTTATGGCGTGATGGTCCAGGATGTGATTTACCCATTTAACAAGGTCCATCTCACAATTAATAAATATTAGTCATAGGGTTTTTTTTTTCAAAATAGGATATGTTCTCTAAATGGGATATGTTCCTATCTTAAAAAAAAAAATAATTTGTACTGTAAGTATTTGATCACAACAATGCTGTAATGAACTCCCACATCCATTATCAGAAGTTATGCCTTATTGCTGATGAGGGTAACCTGGAGCCCGTGCTGCAAGCACAGGGCTCAGGGCAGAAGTATATCCTGCATGAGATGTCTATCCAAGCCAAACAGGACAATTCTGACACAGCAGTGAAATTGCATTTGAACACTGGGAGAACATGCAAACTCCACACAGAAGATGTTCGAGGCCACACTCAAAATCAGCACCCAGAGCAGCATTATTAATGGCCAATCCACCATACTGACCCATAAGAAACTCCTAACTGCACATTCTAAGATAAAGCGCATACTGTATTACATGCTCTTTAGTTTCCAATCTCTCCATCTACTGATATTCTCTGTAGGTAAGGATCTTACTGTATAACAGCTTTGGGATGTGTGCCAGGCCATTGCTGCTCCTCCTTTATATATTAATGCCTTTTTGTGACTTTTTCATATTGGTTTACTTACATATGATTCTTATTTACACTAGTTTTCTTTTCTGCTTAGTTGCTACTTACATCCTAACTTGCAATTCTATAAACAATAGCTGTGGAACAGGCATCTCCAAACACATTGAGAGGAAGTGTCCAGGACAAATACATTAGTGTTTCACAGAGATCTGAAAAAATAATCAGTGGAGATTATAGACTGAACCTGGCATGCTACCAACATAAAAATAAAGCTGCATATCATTTTAATCAAATACTCAAAATGCTCCTCAAAATAATCTCAACAACAGTATTGTTAAGTGTCATAAAATGTGTTTTGTCTGAAAATGTACATATATACATGGCACTGAGACAACACTGAGAACAAGAATCTTAATGTATTATACGTTTGATATAGTTATACCTTTTTTCTTGTTCGTCCTTTAAAACAAACAAATTAAATTGTTGAGTTTGAGTTCTTGATTTTCTTGCATATTAGTTATTACTCTGCATACCTGTGGTTCAGCCTCCAAATTGACCTTAAAAGGATTCGTCTTGCCATCTTCTGTACCAGTTGGAGACCAGATCTTTGTCTCAGATCTGTAAAAACCACATCAAACAACAGATGATCAATTAAGAAACAAATTTCAAACCACAAAGTTAATTCTAACTTTTTTGCTAACCAGATAATCATCATATATTTAAGGGATCTTATCGTATACCTCGGGCATCTTGCTTTTGTTACTGTACTTGCACTTAGATTGATATTCAGTATGCTAAATTACTTTTCCAGTAAAAAATGACTTCTGAGTGATCTTCTCAGAGCAAAGGAAATGAGGAGAGCTCTACTGGCTCAGCACTCTAATGCATTTGCAAAGAGGCAAAAAGGCTTGTAATATTCTACTTCAATTTGATAAATTTACAAGGTATCCAATTTAAAAATGTCAAAAATAGTGCCTGTATCCTGGCGCACCAGTTTAATGCGATATCTGGAGAAGGGTTTGTCTGAATACACTTTCTCCAAATATATTTTATTAAGATTAGTTAAATACCAAAACAATATTCAAATGTCCTTGAACGTTTTGTATCATTTAGAATAACAACATTTATTTCTTCAAAGTTGTAAGGAATGTGAAAATGTTCAAGAAAGGAGCCCTTCATGCTAAATGTTTTTGCAGCGCTGATCCAGTCTTTTCCAAAAACCTGAAATGGTTTCTTTGGGTTAAAGACTGAAGGTCTATCTGTTCATTGATAGGAAAACTGCTTCATTGTCCTTTCTTCCCTGAAGTTTCTATATACTGTACAGTAGTAAGAGTCTGCAAATTAACTAGGAGTAACCAGGAGTGTTGAAAATAAATTAAACAAAAAAGGAAACGTGCCCTCAGCCAATAGGTTTCTCTGTTACAGACTGAAAGCACCTTTCATTTAAATGCAAGCTAAACCTTGTAGCCATAATTCAAACAGAAAATGTGTCCTTTTTCCATCTCTCTAGATTAGTTCTGACAGTGATTGTATAAAACAAATATTTAAGAAAATTCAAAACTGTCAATTAGTAACCAAACCTTAAAGGAAGTGAAAATGACTTTACTCCTGTACAAGCTGTCATTAACAGCTGTGTAAAGAAGAGAAGGATGCCTGCCTGCAGTTTAAATTAAACCAATTAAAAGTTTGGAATGTATACAGTAGATTACAGTAGACATGAAAGCTTTAGATAATATAAAAGTAATAAAAAAATACTAACAACAGTAAAGCTTTTAGTGAGCCATCATTTTGTGTGACCTATACACAATATATTATGAGATTGTTTAAGATACCACAAAGATTTGTAAGTACTTCTGGAATTTTCCAAGAGCTTGAATGAAAACAGTGTGGGTAATATTTTAATATCCCTGAGAGATATGCTAACTGCAAGAGTTTGCCAAGTTGCCTAAATATACTACATATACTCATGCCTCCAGATTTAAACAGGTTTTATTTTTGTGACATCATTTCATCCAAGTAGCCATATTCACAGATTAATAGAGAGCTTCATTGGAACAAAGACGTATTCTGCAGAACATCTGCTGCAGTTGAAGAACGTACACCTACACAGTAGCAAGCCTGAGGATTCAGACTAACAAAGAGGTTTCTGTAATCACTCCAACGGTGGAAAACTCACAACTAGTTTCAATGAGATCACACAGCTCAGCTGTCGTAATTGCGGCTGGGTGAGGTAATGCCTAAAAAATTGTCAAAGAGGTGTTCATATCAAAAAGATATTAGGCATACATGCAAAATTAACGATCTTCAGACCCAAGCGCAGACACCCAGCCAACTTGACTTTTAGGCTAATTATGACATAATGCATTCCCCAGACATAACTTTGTGGACACGTTTAGGAAAATACATTAGGAGTAAAAACCTCAGTAAAATCTAGTCTATACTGAAATACTGACAAGTGCTTTTTGTTGAGAATGTCAGTATACAAATTAAATTCAGATTGAAATTCAGATACTGATGAATGTCACTTTAAAAGCTATTACAGAATGGCTTACTACTGTATATCAAACTTATATTTTTACCTATACCTAACAATGCACTATATTTCTATGGAAGCTTTTCAACAAGAACTATGAGATTTGAAAGTACTGTACTACATCTGAGAAGTATCTGATAATCATCACTGCACTGGGACATTCTAAAGCTTCCATAGAGAGCTACCAGACTTTCCCCCAAATACTGTATATCTCTAAACCATTTTCAGTATGACAGCAACCACTTGTAGATATAGAAGACAAATTCTTCTTTCATCAATGTCACTTTTAATCTTAGGTAATAAATTAAAGCCATAAAATACTGTATATTAGTGTTAAATTGCTGTAAATGAGTTTAATTATCTCAAATGTTTTAGGTTCTATTAAATTAAATTGCTCCATGCACATTTTATACTACCATTTATTCTTATACTCTGTCAAGAAGAAAATACTCCACATACTTTACAGAGTGCAATTCAAAATCTAAACTATTTAATACATTTTGCATTATAATAAAATGCTTTAATGGTCACATTTTCCAAAAATTAAACATCAGCACAATAGTTAAATTGCTCCCAAGTTTCCCTTTTTTCTATATTTTAACTAATCTGATATGTTTATGTCAAAACATAAATCAAAGACAGAGCAAGGTCCAACAGTTCTCTAAGCACAAAAAACCCCCTTCTACCTCCCCTCCCTTCTAAGAAGTATCCCCGAGAGGAAACAAAAGTGAAAACCTAAAGTGCCTCTCCTGTTTGAAAATCCTGTCTGATAATCACTTGAAAGAGGAACACTATTACCATTGCTGAATGAAATATTTGGTCTTTGGGGGCCCTAGACTGTCTGGACATGACTTAGTCATGTTCAGAGTTATGAATTAAAAAACATTCGGCTCTTGACAACAGGTTTTTTTAACACACTATTTTAGTTGATGATTATTTCATGCTCCCACTTGAGAACCTTCCTTCAGAGAGCTCAGTAAAAGAGACACTTTATTAATCTTCTTTTTGTTTATCGTCCATTTAGATGAAACAGAAGAGCCCCCTTTCAGCTCCACTGTAATACAGTATGCAAGACAGCATACAGTACATTCATCAGAGGCCCAGTGCCACTGCTGGACTCATTTTGTAAGCACTTGTTTTTCTAAGCAATTATTCTGCTTTAAAAGGAGTCACTCCCCAGCTGATTGCTCAAGAAGCAGCAATCCTCTGCATTTCAAAGATCAGATCTTTCAGAATCTGTCAATAGAAACCTTCTGTATTGATTTTGTGTTCATAGAAACAAACATGGCTTGTTTCAGACTGCCTTCATCTTACTCCCAGTTCTTCATGGCCACTGCTTTCTTAAAAAGCAGAATAAATTACAGCTGGCATGTCTCATGTGGAAGTGTTACAATAGGTTAATGATATACTGGCACTGCTGAACAGACATGACATATTTCAGGAAGCTCCTAATATAATGCTCTGACTTTTTAGTGAACTTAGCATGAGCCTCTGAGCAACAAATCTTTCTCAGTCAGCCACCCTTTGATCACAAAGCCAGAAATACAGCACACAATTTATGGAATGATTTTACCTCATACTCTAGACGTTAAAGGTATTTCAAGGGCTTTTAGATTTGAACAGCTGAATCCAAAAACCTTGCTCCATTACCCATTAAAGCTGAAAACATCTTTTTCCTTTTTTACAGTAATTCCAATAATAATTACACCATAGTTTTCTCTTAATTGGGACAGAGCACTGTTGCTGACATTTTGAGTTTATGTTTAAAACAATATTTCCTCTATTTTTCTACAGTGCCTAAAATTGAATTTAAAGTTAAATGAATTGAGGGTTACAGACTGCCTGGCCAGCTGTTGAAGAGTCCAGTGCATTTTCTGGATGAAAATGCTAATAAAGATCCCAGTTTTGAGGCAATTAGTCTTTACAATGCTTTTTATTTTATTAGATATTTTGAAAGAAGTTTAGCTCATCTCATTTTCTCATGACTCACCGCAAATATGCTCACTTCTCCCAATGTTTTAATATACTTTGGAAGTCTTTTCAGATCGTGTGTGAATTACATGTTTCTCTTTTCTATTTTAGGATTCTTTCTTTTATATAATTATAACTTGGTCTAGTGTTCATTTTTTCTTTTCTCCTGGCCCTCTGGAAACATGATCCACTGAATGCAACATTCTTTGCTGCAGGAAAGTCTTTTATTAGTTTACTCAAAGTGAAATAGACACCTACTTTTCAAGTATTCTAGAAACAGAGGGAAACAGCCTAGAATCTTGCTTTACAATGTAATGACTATTTGTCTGATGTTGGTTTTCATTCGATAGATTAGAATTTCTTTAGTTTATTCAAATAGTTGTAAAATCTGTTAGAGTAAAATGAAGTGAATATCATGAAAAATGACAAAAACGGATATGCTATAAGATTACAATAAGGGAATAAGACTCTAAAGTTGTTCTGCGCTACGCTGACCATATAATTGAAATTACACACACATAGCACACTGAAATCTGGCCCCGTTAAATTCATTCCACTTCCACTTCTATTTTTTTAAGGAAATACGAGAGCAAGGGAAAGTACTCTGGCCCTTACTGAACAAGCTAACTTACTTGAGGTATAAGGTATTCATAGCAAAGGCAGCCTTATCTTTGTCTGTATATAAACAATGTTGGTTTAGTACTTATGGCTTGAGTCTTTACAGGAACTTGTGTTACTATACTTTTTTAGTCTTTGTAACTTTCAAAAAATGTCTTAATACTAAAGGCTAGATATACTGTATAATTAAAATTGTTGCATGGGTTACCAAGAAAAATGAGACGAGGGAAAGTGCAAGATCCAAGCAAAACTGAACAATGTAGTCAGTAAATTAATCAATCTTTATTTTGTTCAAAACTATTGCTTGAAAACTTACAAGCTTTTATGTAAATCAATATAACCCAAATAAAACCATTTGCTCTTCATTTGATCAATTTACGTTTCTATTACAGAAACAAGAGATTTCAAGAACCAGCAAAGTGAAGAAGAGTTCAGCACAGTAAAAATGCTAAATATTTGTATGAAAGCAGAACGCCAGATAAAGTTATCAGAATATGAATGTATATCTAAAGAATCTATAACAATCATTTAGGAATTGACATGTTTGACACTTTGTTTTCTTGACAATTGGAAGGTGAAATCTACCTTTTATTCTTTCCAAAAGGAAACTGCTTTAGCTGTTCTTGGACATTCATGGCTATGCATGGGAAAAACACTTTTATCAGAAACTGAAATATGTTCTGAACCTAGGTACATTTTTGTTAGATAACATATGTCAAGAAAAGACAATGGACTAATGCCAAATGACAATTTTACTGTAAAGACATTAACTTTATTATGTTTTGTGTCTAGTTTTGTTTTACAGCCTAGTAGAATTTATATGTACTGCTTGGGCAGACTAAAAAAATAATGTCAACATTCTTTGAGCAACAACTTTTAGGCAAATCTAATCTGTCATAAAATGCCTGAGAGAGACCAGTATTTATAGGGATTTTTATAATATCTATATATCATGCTAAACATTTGTCAGCATATTTCACAACTTACAAGGGAGTACTGAATTATTTCCTTAAATTAATATATATTTTAGTTTTCCAAGATGCTTTAAAGAAGCTTAACTAAGTTTTATTCTTTTGTGTTCATAACAAAGCATGAAACTATGAACTATGCAATTAATAAAATTGTAGGGGGAATTAAAGGATATTGAGGATATTAAAAATACTTACTAAAATTGCTCATTTTAATTGATCCTTTAAGTATACAGTAAGAGTGAAGGACAAGATGTTGGACATGTAATTGTTCACACAAGAGGATACACTGCTTATCATGTCTGATTGCTTGACATTAAGATCAAACCTTTTCCAATCAGGGTTTGAAGGATTCCAGTGCACAAATCCAATAAGGTAGCTGGGGGTTTGTTTTAGAGACATACAGCTTAAATATATATAAATACGTTCTGCCTGTGCTCATCCTAAATGTTTCTCCTGTTCTTTCACTTTCGTGATCTCAAGGCCCGCAGAGGTTCGTGTCATCATGTCACACAACAAAGTAAAGTATTCCTGGTCCTAACTAGCTAGGGAGAGCTAGGGACACGCTTGTATACACTAACAATTCGAGCTTTGAAATGGTCCGAAAAGCCTTTAGATTAATAAAAGCTAAAAATAATGACTTTTTTAAGGAAGAACATTAAATAAAAAAGTAAATAATCAGAATCCAAATTGTAAACTTTTCCCTACTGTAAAGCTAAGCGCCAGTTGACTGCTAAGATATATCAGAATATAAAATAAGATATGCATTAATGAAAGGAAAAATGCATATGGTGGTAAAACCATACAGTATCTGTTTGGCTTTATCATCATAATTCAGAAGTTGTGATCATACCCCATTGTTTTGCACTAAATGTCTCATTTCTTTCATCCAATACACATTTGATACAGCTTCAGAGATACTGTAGATGTCCAGTTAATCAAAGATGGTTAAGTGACTCCGTACAGTGACGCTACTCACCGGCTGATAGACAAAACAAGCTGGTCAGTGCAGGCTTTGATCCTGTTCTGGGCCTCCATGTGTGTCATGCTCTCAGTACTGTCTCCATTTATAGCCACGATAGTATCACCAGGGTTAAGCTCTGCCTGTGCAGCTTTACTTCCAGGTGTAATCTACAGCAAAGGAAAAATCAACATTAAGCTTGTGTTAACCCAAAACAATGGGTATGTAGAAGTACCACAATGCACTCGGTACACTCGCCAATACAGAATGAATCGTTTAAGATGAATATTTATTTTTGCAACAATTGTAATAAAATAGGAAAACTATATGTCGCATACAGACAAAAGATCAAGGAGGATCAACAAAACCATAGAAACATTAGTAAAAAAGCAACACTCCCACACTGCAGTAAATGTCCTTGTACGAACACCCATGTGGTTGAATTAGCTTCAGGTAGCAGGCAAAGAAATTGCAGTTTTCTATAATTTACCACTATCAAACAAGGCATTAATCTCTAGAGAGTGAGAAAGACTTCAGGCGATGATGAATCATTTAACAACAGCAATAAAACAAAAGGGTCATAGACAAAATAAATTAAACATCAGGACAAATGGGTGACTGTATTAGCCCAATTTTGAGACAATTAAAACTTAAGCAATGTGGAAACCTTTAACTGGGAAATTTGGTGTCATTACCCCTTGAATTGATGTCAGGTGCTTGGCCATGCAGATTTAATGACTACAATGTATCAGTCTGCTATGTAAACAAAAGGATACACTCCACATACATTCCTCAAGGTATATTACTCTAGGTGTCAAACAGAGACAAGGTAGGAGATTAACAGTTTGCCATTTCCTCTTATTGTTCTAATCAGTGCCTGGGCACAGTAATTTAATCACCTTTTTATGGAAATGTTTGGAAGAGTAACAAAATGCTTAAGGTCAACATATGCATGTGCTTCTCCTTAGAAGTTAATAGAAAAAATATACAAGCCTTTGTTTTGTTTTTTTGCTCATGACATTTTAACTTCGTAAATATTTTAAAGGGTTTTTTCTTCATATTAAAGCTTACCTTCAGAAGTTTGTTTGTTACCACATGATAGCAATTTCATTTTGAACTACGCCTTCAGAGGAGGACATCTGGATGTCACACTACGAACCTTAAATACTGTATAACCATAAATCACCAGAAGCCCTCTGTGAATCTTATATATTTTCTATTACAATATTACCCTCAGACTAATCTTTCCAGATCAGGGATGATTTTGGAAACAGAGGAATGATTTACAAAGTTTCTATATGAAGAAGGGTGGAAGCACAAAAATATATTTTCCTAATTAATTAAAGTGCTCATTCACAAATTAGATTTGTGATTAGATAAACCAAGTGCTGGTCCACTATGGCCTAAAAAAGTCACTTCAATCCGATTATTCCTTCATCACTGTTTGATTATAGAGATAACTGGAACCCATCATACAAATGGATGACGAAAGATTAATAGTCAAAAATATTCTTCTGACAGAGCAAAATGCATAGTCACTTTATTCCACATCGAGTGTAACCACATGGAGAGGTTAATATAAATAGGCTATGCAAACCTTCTTCAAAATCCTATGCCAGAAATGATCACTTTTAAAGCTTTTGGAGCTGTTTCATGGAACATAGCATTGGTCTGAAATAACTGACATGAAGAATTATAGAAATCTGAACTAAAAAAAATACTCTACCAAAACAATTTTTAAAGAATTGTTTTTTTTGTAACCTAAAACAAAAATAGAATACAAATTTTCTTTATGTTTTAGAACCTGGCTTAAACTTATTGAATTTCATTTAATTCCCTAGGAACTTTGCTCTCCAGTGGGATGTGCATTAATTTCAAATGAAAAACACTTGTGGTGATAGGATTGTATATGTGCTTGCCAAGTTTTATTTTCTCTTTATCATTCAGAAACAACAAATTGACTCATTTTTTTCCAGTTGTTTTTGCATTGTCTTACAATGCACTACACGTTTCATATGACTTTAGATATATGCGAACAGTAATTCAAAAGGACAACTGTTGGGATTGTAGTCGTGTCTTTCCAACCACAGTCCTAAAAGCACCACATTATAATCCAATATGGAATCCCTCTTTTCAAATTTCTAATTTTAACTTTATGATATTACATTAAAATTGTAAAAAGACCCTGGCTGTGGAAATCCTCCTTTATTGTGGGTAATTTGGCAATAACATGTTATGTTTAAGGGTGTGCTGTTATAGCAGAACAAAGCCCACAGCAAGGTCAGGACTTACATGAATAGCCCTTTATGAGTCACTCTTCCGGCCTGCCTTCTTAGAAAAAGTATTAAATTATCAATCTGCTCTTAGAAACCTGAAACAATGGTGATCGTAAAACAAGCACGTTTTGTATAAAAATGTTTTCTTTTGCTAATAAAAATGTTCAATGAAAATACATGTTTTATGTTTGTCTTACGAGAATGGGTCAAGAGATCTGTTTCTGTGACAGGGATAGACCAGAATCAGGCTTATTGCTTTACACAACAAACAGTATTTTTTAAATCTTTGGGGAAAATGTATACATTGCTGCATTTTTGATGTACAAAACGTACTTTTCAGTAGATACGGGCTTACACCCAACAACACAGAACTGAAAAGTCAACTAATCTGAACACGCCCCTCTGCCCACAATGAAATAAAATGTGGAGACTAGCATGCAGTACAACAAATTAGCTGCTTAACTCAGACTAAAGTCTCCAGAAACAAAAATTGGGAGCCTTATCCCATAGTGGATAGAGGTCCGCAAAGGTAAGCAACAGGAAATTAAATTACATTGAGTCACATAATGGCATTCTTCAGTTTTACCAGATCCACAGAACAAGAATTTATTTTTTCTAATTCATTTTGAACCCAGAATCCTAAATCAGTTCTGTTTTTTCAGTTTTAGGTAAAGCTACCCTTAACCTTATCTAACACCACAAAAAAACTCCTTCTCATTTGTGTAACAAATCCGATCTCAGTTTGAGGAAAAATGTTCAAATATTTTAAACTAAGAACAAAATATTAAATTTGCCAGTGCACAGTCATCTCTTTTGTGATCTAACAAAAGTAGCTTCACAATATGGCCAAAAAGAGCTGTGTTTTATTAAAAAAAAAAGAATATGACCATTCCACCTTCAAAGTGCATAAATTAAACAAGTTTAACCACTTCTGATTTGTATGGTATCTTTATACAAGTGTACCAAGAACAGTAGCTACTGTAAGTAAACGGCATATTCTAAACAAAGTTAAAAGAATATGCAATATATTGGAGATCGCATTAGCAGTGAGCAAATTAATGAATGTTAAACAGAAAAAGCAGAGTGACTTCTCTTACATCTGTAAAACTGCCTAATCAATGCAATTTGTGTAATAGAACAATAATGTTCTGCATATCGTATCAGTTATACAATATCTAGTTAATTATTGCCAGGTTCTGCAAGGAATGAAAAACAAGAATATTCAAGAGGGTCTGGCTGCCTGAAAATGGAGTTTGTGACAGTGGTTGCTGAATGCTACAGAATTAGTTGTGTCCAGCCATGTGTAAAATGTGGTCATAATGGGTCAGAGGGTTTTGTTGTGCCATCAATGCAGGTATAAAGAAAGACCAGCTTTTCATTGGCCTTTCTGTCTGTGTGGCTTAAACAAAATCACGTTTTCTAATTGTTATTGTATGAATTTGCTTTCAGGTTTAGGAGTTTAAAAATCCTTGTTCTGTTATGTACTATGCAGAATTCAACACTGTAAACACAAACTTCAAGGCCATATACTGCTAGTAAAGTAAGCAATGCAAACCCAATAGTTAAAAATGGTCTTAAATAGAATATAATCTTGTGAGCAATTGTTTGCTCTAAAGGGTTATTATAAACTATCAGTTATAAGGTTATTAAGAATGATCAGAACTATCAGATAACGAAAGGGTTATTAGGAACTAAAACTTAAATAAAAGTATTCATTTCATGTGCAGTACTATAAATAACTTCAACAACCTTTTTGAGGTTGTTGACTTTTGAGGTATATAAACATTTTATTGAAAGTCTCATTTAGATTCTGTCTCCTGTTGCAACCATGGAAAAGTAAAAGTATTGAGCCATCTTAAATATTTTATCATGGTTTAAAGAACAGAAAAACTTTAATCTCAAATATGAATGGTTATATTTTGCTCAGAAATACAAATCCAAATAGAAGCATAAACAACAAACTGTAAGACCAATACAAAGTTGTGAATCACTGATGCCAACAATATTAAATGCATCACAGCAAGGTAATAAACATACTGCAGAGACTTTTTTGCCATTAATGTCTGGTTTGTAAATTTATTACGCAGTCACATATGTTTCCAAAATAAGGCACTTCAGTTCTTCCATGGATATGAAAAGAAAACAGTACGGGACACATAAAAAGAATGGTCACTGATTTCAAAATGTCTCTTTTAGGTCACACAGATCCCTGGAATGCATAACCACATGAGGCTCAAAGAGAATAAATTCTGACAAAAGGTTAGCAGACCCCTTCACTTCAAAATGAGCAGCAAGGCTAATAAATTACTAGACAGAAGAAAGGGGTAGAGAAAAACAGATACTGAAAAGGTAGCAGGAAGGAATTCACTGTGGAAAGCTAGCAGAAAATGTCATTTGAAGGAACAAAGAATGAAATAATGAATCTTTCGTCTTCTGTTCAGATTCAAATCTGAACTTTTTCAAATGCCTGTAATCAAGAGTCCATCTCCTCTGGCTTTTTTCAATATCTGCACTCTTTCCAGGATTAATTAAACTGGTCTGTTCCAACAAAGACTGAAATTTAACCTGGAAGAGGAGGAATTTTTCAGCATAGGAAATTCCCATAGAGGCATTCCCTTTCTTGCTAATATGCATGTGCATCACTTTTTCATCACAGCCTGCATTTTTCAATTATACTATGAATAACCATACATAATATCAAAATTCAGAGTTACATACACATGCAGTAAAGGTTTACTAATTGAAAATAATTTCAGTTCAATTTTAAAAGGTATTGAAATGGATTGTTTTTATATTAAAAGTAGATCTGGCCTGAGAATTTCCAATTTAATTACTCTCTGGTAGTCCTTGCCCCAGAGATGAACATTAAGTTAAAGAATTCCTCATTCAGAAAGATCTGGCCATGACTGTGCACAGCTTTTACATTATTTCCTGGAAATAAAAAACAGTTTCTTGTGTGTTTGTATCCATTTGTCAATAGCAAGTGCACAGTATACATAAAACCTTATATACACAGCTCTGACACTTTAGCAATTTAGCTGAACTATAGTATACTGCTTGCAAACCATGTGATAATCTTATTGTTCCCACATTCAAGAAGGTTACGCTTTATGTTTTAACTTCATAGTTACACTTTTCCACATTATCTCTGCAACATGTTTTAACAATTAGGACTGTGGTCCAACTTGTCCTTATTTCATTATAAACTACCCCACCCTTGTATATGCAATTTGGTTATTTGCTCTCGTCTGTGAACTGCAGTAGACTTCACAATTAGCACCTACACTACACCATGATTTGAGTCAGTACTGAATTTACAATTTTAAAGTGCAGGATCAGTTAGTGTTTTAGAACTTTTAGTCTGAGAAGAATGCTTTCCAACATGATGTCTAGCTTGTCCCCTGTGTAATATCATTAAACTAAGAAATCTGGAAAATATTTTAAATGTTTCAATATTTAAACATGTCACTTATTCAATGGAATAATCCAAGGCTTCCTTTCTGCAGTATAGCTTAGAAAGCATCCCATAAAATGATACAGGACACTTGGCACACAAGGTACACAAGGAATGCATTGAAGATATGATACAGCTAACCAGACAATAAAGATTTTTGGGAACTGCAGTTTTCCATATGCACTATGAAGGGTAAACATTAAGAGTATTACTGTATATCCAAGTCTTAGGAATTTAATTCTCCATTGCTTTTCTTGGGGTTTAATTGCCTAGTTGTATATACAGAAAACCCAGAGTGTTTAATTGTTACATGCATTAAACCTTCTAAAGGTTTTTAAATGTAGAATTCAAATATACCCTTCATCATTTAGAAGACAGCTCGCTGATCTCCCTGACATTTTGGTCCAGATTGTGGTTTGACAGGAATAACATGCTGGAATTGGTACATTCTCTTTACCCCCAAAACATATCATGCTTTACTATTTTTCTGAAGATGAACTGAAAAATCAATTTGATTTGATATTTAAATAATTTTGGAGAAAACATAATAAATAAGATGAATAAGAAGCAAATAAGATGAATATGATAACATCTTTTCCAGATGCAATCATTTCCTTTATAGGAGACATACTTTACTTGAGAAGATTAAAATTTACTATACCACGACAATAAGCCACAGGAGATCATTATATTCTCTATGAAAGAAGGAGCTGCTGGTTGAATAATACGCTTTTATAAATGTTATGAGGAGTTATCATTAAAATAGTTTATAGTATTCATATTAAATCTCTTCATACAACCAGGGTTCAGAACACATAAATTCCATACTGAGTCTACATTCCCTTATAGTTTTTAATTTTACATAGTTGTCCTGAGATTGACTATATATGAAAATAACACATTAATGTTTAAATAGATGCTTCAATGGGAAAATTGTAATTACATATTAGTACCTGTAAGCAAAATATCATTAACGGAAATCCTACATTTCCAAAATACAGTATTGCTAAAATTATTTTGTACGTTGGAATCAAACTCTATTTACAAAACAATCCTATGACATTTTTATCCTTTCTTCATATTAAGTAAACTGGCGGAGCCAGATATTCAAAATGAATATGAAAAGACGAAACACACCTAGGGACACTTTGATTACAACATTACAGCTCGTTTATTCCTTTAGTACTGCAGCAACGTCTGTATTAAGCCTATGCGCTAGAAACTGTTGTGACAGCACCTGCAAGCTTTCTTCTCAGCAGTAATCTTCGACGACAGCTTTCAACTTCAGCAAAATGTCAGCACCCTGAGCATTTTCATCTGAATCTCCCGTGTTTATTATACTATCAACACATCTACGGCTCCCCATGTACAGTAGTACGGATGTTAAAATATTGTAACACTGCATATTAAACCCAAGTATGTGTACCTATTGTTGAGGGGATTTTACAGTTTGTACAAGACATGTAGTTATTACTTTCCTATAGTACACAGCGGATACTCGGGTGAAATGCATATTGGGAAGACATGTAACAGATTATAAAAGGCGAAGTTTGTACTTTCTCTGGCAGCTAAAGACCAGACCAGATAAAATAATAATAATAACTGTCCTAACGTCACTTATCACGTAACCCCGTTAAAATAATTGCAAACCAAATGTGTTAAAAATAGATGACCAGTTTTCTTACTTATAACAATAAACCTATTTAACAAAGCACACTTAATTTCTGGTCTTTTCATAGCAAAGCAAGTCTTAAATGCTAGAAAAATGTGACCAAATGAAAGCTATAAAAAATTAAAGCACCTGTATAAAAGTATTTGTGAATATAACTAGAGAAAACAAATGTTGCATAAATAATGATGCATTCTTTCCAGTTGGGCATTCGTAAGATAAACGTCGTTCACAGTATCATCGTTAGGGAGCACTGAGCGAAAAGGATTTTTTTAACAACTGTGCTACATATACTGTAATCAATGTAACAGAAGTATGGAAAGCTTGTAGACTTCTTCAGTTGTTAGTTACAGGCGTCTTCAAGTAATCTTGTATATTATTTAATAAAATAAATTATTATTTTAAATCCCTTCCACTTAATACAGTACTAGTACTCCAACTCGAATGTTCCACTCTCAAATGTTAGCAAAGTGAGTCCAATAAACATGTGTTAATTAGCAATGATCTATTCAGACTAAATCCCAATAAAGGTCACACAATACCATCAATACCATCACTCAGCATTATATTTCAACTTCCAAAACTGACACAAAGTGCCACATGCCTCGTCTCTGTGAACTACAGAAAGAATTATTAGATTAAAGACAAAAAGATTAACACATTACATACCCTTGAAATAGTTAAAGGTGTACTAAAATCCCTTCCACCTACAAGCCTGAAACCCCATGGCGAGGGTCCGATTAGAGTTACAGTCTGAGGCATATCTGCGCTTCAGAAGGATCCACGAAGTCAGAACTGAGGGGTTTAAAAATAGGTCCTTAGCCTGGTAGCTTCTAGGCAACAGTCTAACAGTTCCCTCTTCACTTGCTGCAAACTTTAAATAATAAAAGCCCTCCTGACGATTGAAAGGGGGAGTTGTTCTTTGTAACTGCCTCACACCAAATTAAATGGGAGGGAGGAAAGCGGCGTCATTGCAATTCAACTCTTTGGTTGAAAGATGTAGTTTTTAAGCACAACCGCCTCTTGTAGCTGTAGACAGGAATTCAGACAGCTTTACTACGGCTCCCAGAAGGCAGTAGTGAAATTCTCACTCAGACAGTTCGGACAAGGAGGAGTTTAACCAAATTCAAGGGCTGGGAAACTAGCGGTGGTATGCTAATTATCAAAAGTGCGCATAATAAAATTGGAAAAAAAGCTGTAAAACCTGATAATAGTACTTAACAAATAGATATTTGCAAGTGTTGAAGGTCTGAAAGAATGTTGCAGTTTGTCGTAATTCAAATGGCTGCTTAACAATATAGTTGACAATTTTAAAATGTTCATTTAATCTGTTTGACTCAATATCTACATGATATTATCACATTATCAATAGATTGAATTTGCAGATATTCATACGTTCAGGCTGCATCTGTAGTACACTTTTGCTTAGGTGTTAGTCGAGAAGAATGATCATACGTCTAGAGATGTAAAGATTGTAAACACTTTTTCTTTAATATCTCCTATTTGTTTAACAACTTTCAGATTTGTGTCAGATTTGTTTTTACCCTAAAACTGAAAACTAGTTCCGAAGGAATTTTTTGCTTTCACTTTGTCCACTAATCATGCGAAAAACTGTTAAAGAATATACGTGAATCTGTTCTTGGGAGTCACCGTAAATCTTGAGTCATTTCCCTTTGATTCTTTTTGTGTCTGTCTTTTCCCAGGACTCATGACGTAATTACCAGACACTCCGTGTGACTCGTCTTTAGTAGCTCCAGTGTTGTGACCGGCACAGCAGTAATTGCCTTCAGCCTCTCCCAAGAAACTTCTCCAAAGCTTGGCAAAAAATCCGAATAAACCTTTTAACAGTATTTCAGCCCTATAACTAAAAGAAAACTAAAATGCTTTGGCAAATTAATACATTAACAAGAAAAAAAAAACCTTAGGTTTTTTAACTATCTAAATAATTCATAAAATGCTCCTGACATACTTTATTTTACAGTGCCTTGCGAAAGTATTCGGCCCCCTTGAACTTTTCAACCTTTTGCCACATTTCAGGCTTCAAACATAAAGATATAAATTTTTT